GAGATAAAGCTGGTAGAGTCATCTACATTTAAGTTGAAAACTTTTGTTCAGGTAGTGTTCTAAGGCGAGTTAAAGAAAAGCTACAAAGTAGAAAAAGACGATCACAACATATAAACGCAAACAATTTACCATCAAGGCCGCGTGAGGCACAGCTGCTGATCCATAAAGACGACAGAGGATCAGTGAAGTGCTCAAAGACTTTGGCAGGCACCTCACAGTAAGGGACACGCCATGTAGCCCAATCTTCACAGGTTCAGGGAATTAGGACATAGACGTCTTGGGGGGGATTATTCCTCCCACCATACCCTCTGACTCAGCCGTTACTCTTCCTGCAGGAGCCCTAACATGCTGTACTAGTTTCCTGGGGTTGCCATGAAAAGCACAACAACTGGAGTGGCTTAAACAACAGAAACCTGTTCTCTCACGGTTCTGGATGCCAGAGTCTCAAATTATGGTGCTGGCAGGACCACGCTTCCTGTTCCAGGAAGACCTCATCAGAACTGCCTTATTTCCAAATCAGCTCACAGGTTTCAGATACTGAGGGTTGGAACGTCAACGTATGAATTTTTCGGGAGCCCTGACAAGCCTGTGCAGAGTGGCAGTGCTCATACAGCCGTACCTGGGGGACAGCCGCAGTGACTGTCAGCCGCAGAACTGCGGGAGTCACAGGACAGAACGCTACATGGTAACGGGGACACGTGAACTACGGCCACATGCGTGGCGTGGCTGAGTCTCTTCACCAACTGAGCAGAGAAGCAGACAGGAAGGCACTCGTTCCCCTTCCTCCTGCCCTCTCCTTCACTTCCAAAGCAGGCCCCTGGGCTGGGGCAGGCGAAGCAGTTGTGCAGGGGCCCGCGCTGGGTGTCAGAGCTCAACACAGTGAGGAGGATGTCTGGGGGGTGGGGTATGTTGGGGCCAGAGCTGGATGCCAGAGCCAGAGAGGGAAGAGGGCAGTGCTGTGTGGGTGCCACAGCCCAGGCATGGGAGGCAGGTGTTCACTGTGAGAGCCGCCTAGCCCAAGCCTGGGAGGGACCTCATATCTACGTAGCCTCACAGGCCCTCCCAGATGCCACCCTAAGCCAGCGATCAAAGTGGACGGCATCGGTGAGGTGACGAACTGACCACTGTGAGCGCCGGGCAGGACGGAATGAGCAGACCACGGCATCCTTCTGCGACTACCTGCCCCAGATGCACAATGGCAACCTGATCACGAGGAAACTTCAGACAAAACCAAATGCAGGGACTTTCTACAAAGTAACTGGCCCAGAACCTTCATAGGCTCAGGGCCATGGAAGCCTAGGGAAGGATGAGGAGTGCCTTGGACTGAAGAGACAAGAGAGACACGATGACAACTCAGTGCAAAGTGTGATTCCAGACTGGATCCCTTCACTTTGGGGACCTTACGGGTTCAACTCCCAAAACACACCTGACAGGGCTGAGGCTCAGATGCAGTGACGCATCCCTGTCACTCTCCTGACTCCGGTGGTCACGTTGTGGCCAATGAAAGATTGTCCTTCTTTGCAGAAAATACACTGTACGAGTCTGGGGGTGACAGAGCGTCACGCAGACAACTCACTCTCAAACGCATCTGGAAAAGCTTTTTCTGTGCTGAATTTGCAACTTTTATGTAAGTTTGAGATTGTTTCAAAACACTTAACACTATGTACAGTATTATTCCATTTATATGAAGTCTACAAATAGGTGAAACTTAACCATATTGTTAAGGGATTCACTCACAGGTAGTAAAACCAAAGGGACGCCCAGCCCGTGGTCAAGAAGGAGGGGTGCTCGAGTGTGAAGGGGGTGACTCCAGGGGGCGCTGAGGTTCTCTTTCTACACTTGGGAAGTGGCCCCTGATGTTTGCTTAGCAACCAGTCCTTAAACTGCACCTGGGTCTGTGCATCACGCCCGCAGAGACTGGCACTAGCGCGCTCCCTCCGAGTGCGGGCAGGGGCGGGCTCGCTCGTTACCTGGCTGCGTACCTGGCTCCGTACCCGGCTCGCAGCAGACGTTTAAGGCACGTTTTGCTGAATAAACGAATCTCTGCAGGTAAAAGGGGTAAAAAGCAAAGCAGCACCATCCACTGCAAACTCCGGGCTGTGCGTCCAGTGCCAGCGGGAGTCAGTTGCGGTTCGGCTCTCCGGCCGTCCGCGCGGGCAGCAGGTGCGGCCTCACCGGCGCGCGCGCTCTCCGCCCTCGCAGACAGGAGCCGCGAGGACCGCGTCACCGGGGCTGCCTCGCGGGTCTCCGGGCACGGGCGCCCTCCTGGGCCGGCTCTGCCCGGGCCGCCGGAGACCGCCGCAAACTGCCAGGCGAGCCCGCCTGACCCCGCGCAGCAGCCCGGGGACCACCGCGTGGCTGGCGCGTGCGGCTCCATGGCAACGCGAGGCCGCGTCGCTGCGGCAGCTCCGCCCCTGCCCGCGCTCGCGATGGTTCGGCCAGTGGCACCACCTCTCGCGCAGGCGCGGTGTGCGAGCACGGCCCTCCCGCGCAGGCGCAGTGAGAGAGCGGAGCCCTCCCGCGCAGGCGCAGAGTGTGTGAGCGCAGCCCTCAGGGTGTGGGCAAGAGGTCGCGGGCCGTGGGGCTCCGCAGGTGCGCCGTGGTGCGGCCCACGCGCGTTAAAGTTTGGGTTAATCGCCAACTTAAAAACCTAGGAGCGTCTACCTAAGAGTCGGGGTTTCCCACTTCTTTTTCGGAAATGGAAGGTTGGACCGAGGACCTGGGTTCCGGCGCCGAACCGTGTGCTCGGGGAGACGCGGGCCGGGCGGGAGCGGGAGGCCGGAGCAACACCCTGTCTCAAAAACACCTTCCCCCCCGGCATATAGTTCCGAGAGTGAACTGTTTAGCTTCTCAAAAACAAAAAAACCCCAAATCGCACCTGCGGGAACACCTGTGCCGAGGCCGGCGACGTCACACGCCGCTGCACGTCCCCTCGGTGGTGCCGGTCGCTACGGCAGCCCTCTGTGTATTCCCTTCCTCCCCTCCAACCAAACCGGAGGTCACGTTCTCCTCAGCCTTGCTTCTCTGGACCTTCCCATGCTGATGATTTACTTTCGACCAGAGGGAAGGACCGGGAGAGACTGAAAACTGCACCCTGGGGACCGGCCGAGGAAGCTGTGGCCCAACTCTGGATGGGGGGAGAAGGACTTTCTGTGTTTTGCTGTGAGCGACCTTCAGGACACATCGTGAAGTCAAAAAAGAAAAAGCAGGATGCACAATAGACCATGTAGTATTTTGCCTAAGAAGGAGCACAGGCGATAAGAATATACATGCATACTTTCTTACATTAAAAAGTAACAAAAATGGTTACCACCCAGGGGCAGGAGGGAACAGGAATAGAAACTGGATTTCTCTAAATGTGCTTATATTTGGCTATGAAACTGTAATTACAAAACCAAAAATAAAATAGAAAAAAAAATCTGAAAATTGGAAACAGAATGAAACAAATGAACCTAACAGCATCCCAAGGCTTAACCATACAGAATAGAATTTCAAGTGGCTTTTTGAAAATTATTTTGTTTATTGAAACAGGCTCTTGCTCTGTCACCCAGGCTGGAGTGCAGTGGTGTGGTTATAGCTCACTGTAATCTCAAATTCTTGGGCTCAAGTGATCCTCCTGCTTCAGCCTCCTGAATAGCTGGGACTGCAGTCAAGTACCACCCCCCCCTCCCCAGCTGATTTTTAAATTTTTTGTAGAGATGAGGTCTCACTATGTTGCCCAGGCTGGTCTTGAACTCCTGGCCTCAAGTGATCCTCCTGCCCTAGCCTCCCAAACTGCTGAGATTCCAGGGGTGAGCTACTGTGTCTGGCCCCAAGTGACTTTAAAACCCAACAATTTGTCCATACCTAGTAAACTATATCCTAAGGACAAAAAGAACTGAAGAAATCTTAAGTTGTTTGCAGTAATCAGAGTAATATTGATATTGCTATTCTAAAAGTATTATATGAAGTGGGATAAAGCAATAGATAGTACAGTAACATTAGGAACTAATATTTTCAGCTTGAGAGAAGAGATGCAACTGTTAAAAAAGTAAAAACCCGGCCGGGCGCGTCCCAGTGCTGTCTCCCTTCTTCTCTCTCCCTGTGATCTCTTCACACCTGCGCACGCAGCTCCCTCCACCGTCCACCCTGAGTGGGAGGCCCTCCCCAGAGACAGATGCCAGCACTGTGCTTCTTGTGCAGCCTGTAGAACCGTGAGCCAAATAAACCTCTTTTCTTTATAAATTACCCAGCCTCAGACATTCTCTTAGCAACACAAACAGACTAAGCCACTGTGGATAAGAAGCTCCAGGATCATCTTGTATGTTTCCTTCCTCATATCTAAAATTGGTCATTGTGGCCGGGGCGGTGGCTCACACCTGTAATCCTAGCACTCTGGGAGGCCGAGGCGGGCGGATTGCTCGAGGTCAGGAGTTCGAAACCAGCCTGAGCAAGAGCAAGACCCTGTCTCTACTATAAATAGAAAGAAATTAATTGGCCAACTAATATATATATAGAAAAAATTAGCCGGGCATGGTGGTGAATGCCAAATATTTGTACATTAATGTTCATGGCAGTATTATTCATGATAGCCAAAAGGTAGAAACAAACCCAAATATCCATCAACAGATAAATGGATAAACAAAATGTTATATATACTGTTAAATTAAGTTTGTCCGAAAGCTGCCTCTTTACATATTTTAAGTTTGGCCTCAAGGTTTCTCTGTATATAGTGAACTGTCACCCAGCAGTGCTGTGTAAACCAACTGTACCTACTCTTGTACCAGTCAGTCAAAGGCAGCCACCTGTTAGACTGTGTTCACACAAGGCAGATGCCAGGCTGTCACCAACCCAGCTGCTTCTGTACCTCACTTCTGTTTCCTGCACCTCTCTCTCCTTTCTCTGTTCTTTCTCCGTTCTTTGCTCAACTGAGCTCAGTTAAATTTAATTCATCTAAAGTTTTTCTTTTGACAATATGTACAATGAAATATTATTCAGTATTAAAAAGGAATAAAGTTCTGACACCTGTACAATGTGAATGAACCTTGAAGACACTGTGCTCCATGAAATAAGCCAGACACAAAAGAGCAAATGTTGTTTGATATCACTTACAGGAGTTACACAGACTCGTCCAGTTTATAGAAAGTGGAATGGTGGTTGCCAGGCCCTGAGGGGAGGTAGGAATAGGGAGTTGTTACATAATGGGCATTGGGTTTCAGTTTGGAATGATGAAAAAGTCCTGGGGATGGATGGTGGTGATGATTGCACAATGCAAATGCACTTGATGCCACAGAACTGTACACTTAAAAATAGTTTCAGTGGAGCCAGGCACAGTGACTCATGCCTGTAATGCCAGCACTTTGAGAGGCCGAGGTGGGATGATCATGTGAGGCCAGAAGTTTGCAACCAGCTTGAGCAAAATAGCAAGAGCCTATCTCAACAACAACAGCAACAACAAATGGAAAACAAACTTAGCTGGGTGTGGTGGTACACACCTGTAGTCCCAGGAGGGTCACTTGATCCTAGCAGTTCAAGGCTGCAGTGAGCTGCAGTCCTGCCAGGTCCTGCGGTCCTGCACTCCAGTCTGGGTGATAGAGCAAGACCCTGTGTCTTTAAAAAAAAAAATTAAAATGAGAAATTTTATGTATGTACATTTCACTACAATAAAAATTTTTAATTAAAATTTAAATTTCTATTCCCAAGTCACAGTAGCCACATTTCAAGTGTTCAGTAGCCTTGTGTGGCTAGAGACTACCATAGTGGACAGCATAGATATTTAAAAACCGCCTGCCATTCTCTTGCACTGAGCTGGTCTGGAAACAATCACCAGTCCGGTAGCAATGAGCACTCTCAGTGCCCTATGGGCCATTTCTCACTAAAAGAAGCCATGGTTTCCCGGGACAATGACCCATTTTATTTATTTTTTTTTGAGACAGAGTCTCGCTTTGTTGCCCAGGCTAGAGTGAGTGCCGTGGCGTCAGCCCAGCTCACAGCAACCTCAATCTCCTGGGCTCAAGCAATCCTACTGCCTCAGCCTCTTGAGGAGTAGCTGGGACTATAGGCATGCACCACCATGCCCGGCTAATTTTTTCTATATGTTTTTAGTTGGCCAATTAATTTCTTTCTATTTTTTAGTAGAGACGGGGTCTCACTCTTGCTCAGGCTGGTTTCGAACTCCTGACCTTGAGCGATCCGCCCACCTCGGCCACCCAGAATGCTAGGATTACAGGTGTGAGCCACCGCACCCGGCCACAATGACCAATTTTAGATATGAGGAAGGAAACATACAAGATGATCCTGGAGCTTCTTATCCACAGTGGCTTAGTCTGTTTGTGTTGCTAAGAGAATGTCTGAGGCTGGGTAATTTATAAAGAAAAGAGGTTTATTTGGCTCACGGTTCTACAGGCTGCACAAGAAGCACAGTGCTGGCATCTGTCTCTGGGGAGGGCCTCCCACTCAGGGTGGACGGTGGAGGGAGCTGCGTGCGCAGGTGTGAAGAGATCACAGGGAGAGAGAAGAAGGGAGACAGCACTGGGAGGTGCCAGGCTCTGTCTAAGGACCAGCCCTCTCAAGAACTAACAGAGGAGGACTATATAAGCCATTCCCAAGGGACCCACCCCCATGCCCTAAACACCTCCAGTAGGCCCCACCAGAACACTGGGGATCATATTTCAACAAGAGATTTGGAAGGGTCAAATACCCAAACTGTAGCAAAATAAAAGCAAAGAATTCATCAAAGATCCTGAAATTGTGTCAGGGGATTCATTAGCCAATTTGAAGGGGCCAAAATAAAGGCAATTTCAGTAGTAAAAAGAAGAGCAAACTGCAATGGATTGAAGCGCATCAAATACATTAGTGTTCACGAGTTTGTTCAAAAAATGAAATCCTCGTTGGACACCTTCGAAGGATGCTGAGTTCCTCTTCTTTCTTTTTTTTTTTTTTTTTTTTGAGACAGAGTCTCACTTTTGTTGCCCTGGCTAGAGTGAGTGCCGTGGCATCAGCCTAGCTCACAGCAACCTCAAACTCCTGGGCCCAAGCGATCCTCCTCTGCCTCAGCCTCCCAAGTAGCTGGGACTACAGGCATGCACCACCATGCCTGGCTAATTTTTTGCATATATATTTTTAGTTGGTCAATTAATTTCTTTCTATTTTTAGTAGAGACGAGGTCTCGCCCAGGATGGTTTCGAACTCCCAACCTCGAGCAATCCTCCCACCTCGGCCTCCCATAGTGCTAGGATTACAGGCGTGAGCCACCGCGCCCGGCCTTGAGTTCCTCTTCTGAACGCTGTCGTGGCAGCACCGCTGTGATCCCCTAAAGAAAGGATTCGCGTTGGGCTGAGAAAAGGGTCTGTGCCGGTGCTTCAGCTGAGTCCACTCTCTCTCCAGGTGGCCCTGGCCAGTGACCAAGCTTGTCAGGGCACTAGCTCAGCCGTATCCGCCACCACGGGCTCCTCCAAGGGACGCTGACAGCTCCAGAGCCCTTCCGCTCCCCTTCCTTGGGTTGGCTGAAATGCCAGAGATTCGCATCACAGCAGCTTGGCTCTCCCTTTCCCTTCCAGACGTCAGGGGGCCTGTGGCCTGAAGGCTTTCTAGCCCCGTTCCTTCTGCTGCCTCCCTGATCTTCACAGGCATCAGCCCCAGGAAGTTTTGCATTCCTGCTTCCATCTCATGGTCTGCTGACTGCAGGACACAGACTGGCGCAGCTGGGACCAGGGCCGGTCTGGGGAAGCAGATGGTGAAGACGGGATTTGGAACGGGATCACTCCCGCCAGCTGGCAGCGAGGAGCTGATCCGGGCACCGTGCGCATGCCCTGTGCAAGGTGGTAGGTAGCCCACTGGCAAAACTTCCACCAGCAACAAATTGGGGGAACAGTGGCGGTTCAGCGACCAGGCTCTGGGGGAAGGTGTGTGTCTGGGAGAGTGCGGGAGGTGCACGGAGCAGCGTGTTGGGCTGGCTGTCTGCACGTTGCATAACACCCCGCGGAGGGATCCTGAAAAGTTCGAGACAGTCAGACGGTGGAAACTAAGCGTGAAAGCCAGAGCTGCTCTGGTGGGTTATAAAGAGGCCCTTGTCTTCTGCAGTGGGAGAAAAGGAAAAGCTGGAAACCAAACTGAGGACTGAATAGTTAGAGAGGTTGAGCTTCAAAGATGACTGAATCTCCGGCAAGGGGATCTGCTGTGCCAGGGTCAGGGTCCTGTTGAGATAAACTGGCTCCTCGACACCTGGCGTGGGCTTACCTGGGTGGGTGGCCCTGGGTGTCGTGGCTGCCCGGACTGTTTTGAAACATCAGAGCCTGCAAAGGGGGCTCAGCTTTCCCCAGGGAGACGCTACAGCGGTTGGGTCCCTTGAGGACCTGCCCCAGCCCTGCCCTCTCTCGGCTGCCAGGCTGGCGCCTGGGGGTAAGGCGTAGAGTAACCTGGTGCTGCATAAAATTTACAGGAGGCCGTCGTTTGGGGATGAGATCCTATACTGGGCCCCGACTGACCACACCAAAATGGAGTCCCTCGTGCTAAGGTTCCACGTCACCAAACCAGAAGGACATTGGTTTTCTGACCTTCCGAGAAATCAGGAGGGACAGACGATTGCCAGAGAGCCAGCACAGTAAGGAAGTCCCTCTGCTTTAACTCTCACAAGCAAGGTGACCTGAACTGGCCTGGCGTGAACCAGTCCACGTTTCCTATCATGCAGTCTCCTTGCTCCTGCTCAGGCTGCCTTGCAAAAACGGACTGTTCTGCCTTTTCTAAGTCTTTACAGGATTCATGAATTCTGCCTGATTCATGAATTGCTAATAAAAGCCAATTAGAGGCCGGGCATGGTGGCTCACGCCTGTAATCCTAGCACTCTGGGAGGCCGAGGCGGGAGGATCACTCAAGGTCAGAAGATCCAGACCAGCCTGAGCAAGAGCGAGACCCCGTCTCTACTAAAAAGAGAAAGAAATTAATTGGATAACTGAAAATATATAGAAAATATTAGCCGGGCATGGTGGCACATGTCTTTAGTCCCAGCTACTCGGGAGGCTGAGGCAGGAGGATTGCTTGAGCCCAGGAGTTTGAGGTTGCTGTGAGCTAGGCTGATGCTATGGCACTCTAGCCCAGGCAACAGAGCAAGACTCTGTCTCAAGGAAAACATAAAAAGCCAATTAGATCTTTACATTTGTTGATATGTTGTTTTTTGACACCTAGTCAAGTATAAGCTGGGTTTGTGCACCAAAAGAGCTGCAGGGATCAGCCCATGTCCGGCCACAAGGTTCAATGCGGGGGCTAAACACCAGACCCGGAAGGCGAGAGTCTATCCACTTGGGGTGTTCTCTTGAGATAAAGGGTTTGATACGTTTGCTCAGCCTCAGTGGAGGATAAAAACACACTGCCAAAGTGGCTGGAAATCTTTCAAACTTGATGAAAACTGTAAACTCACAGATCCAAGAAACTCAACAAACCTGAAACAGAATAAATATAAGAAAATTGGCCAGGTGTGGTGGCTCACACCTGTAATCCCAGCTGAGGTGGGAGGATCACTTGAGCCGAGGAGTTTGAGAGCAGCCTGACCAAGAGTGAGACCCTGTCTCTACTAAAAGTTTAAAACATTAGCCAGGTGTGGTGGTGCACACCTATAGTCCCAGCTACTCAGGAGGCCAAGGCAAGAGGATTGCTGGAGCCCAGGAGGCTGAGGCTGCGATGAGCTGTGATGACACAACAGCACTCCAGCCCAGGTGACAGAGCGAGACCCCATCTCAAAAAAGCAAAAGAAGATCACACCAAGAGACATAGAAATCAAATGGATGAAAATGAGAAGTAAAGGAAAATGCTTTAAAACATCCTGAGAAAAGACATTTCCTAAAGAGCAACAGAGAAATGTCAGAAATGGTTTTTCTTGTGAGAAACCAAGCAATCTGGAAGATGAGAAACAACTTCAAAGTACCGAGAGGGAAAAAACAGAAAAAAAAACGCTGACAACCTAACTGTCTATGCCCAGAGAAAATCACTTTTTAAAATGAAGGCAACTTTATGGTGTGTGAATTATATCTCAATAAAGCTGTTATGAACATTTTTTTAATACAGGTAAATTTCTACTTCTTGCAGAGATACAGGAATAGGGACAGATTTACCTCCTGCCTGAAACTACCTAGAAACTCAATAAAATACACAAGACCACAGTTCTCGAGTGCCTAGACACTAGGAACCCAGAACGCCAACCCCTGGGAGATGGAAGTGGGTGGGGAGCCAGCTGGCGGGGAGGGGAGCTTGGGTGGAGCATGAACCCTAAAGAAAAATCAGTGAAATGGATTTCTTTTTTTTTGAGACAGAGTCTCGCTTGTTGCCCAGGCTAGAGTGAGTGCCAATGGCGTCAGGCCTAAGCTCACAGCAAACTCAAAACTGCTGGGCTTCAAGGCAATCCTGCTGGCCTCAGCTCCCAAAGTAGCTGGGACTAAGGCCATGTGCCACCATGCCCGGCTAATTTTATATATAATATTAGTTGGCCAATTAATTTCTTTCTATTATTCTAGAGATGGGGTCTCGCTCTTGCTCAGCCTGGTTTCGAACTCCTGACCTTGAGCAATCCGCCCGCCTCAGCCTCCCAGAGTGCTAGGATTACAGGCGTGAGCCACCGCGCCCGGCTGAAATGGATTCATCAAGATTAAAAACTTTGGTTCTTCAGGTGACACTATTAAGAAAATGAACAGGGGCCAGGTGCGGTGGCTCACACCTGCAATCCTAGGACTCTGGGAGGCCAAGGCATGTGGATTGATCGAGGTCAGGAGTTCGAAACCATGCCTGTAGTCCCAGCTACTTGGGAGGCTGAGGCAGGAGGATCGGTTGAGCCCAGGAGTGTGAGGTTGCTGTGAACTAGGCTGACACCACGCACTCACTCTAGCCTGGACAACAAAGCCAGACTCTGTCTCAAAAAAAAAAAGGCCGGGCGCTGTGGCTCACGCCTGTAATCCTAGCTCTTGGGAGGCCGAGGCGGGCGGATTGCTCAAGGGTCAGGAGTTCGAAACCAGCCTGAGCAAGAGCGAGACCCCCGTCTCTACTATAAATAGAAAGAAAATTAATGGCCAATGATATATATATTAAAAAATTAGCCGGCATGGGTGGCACCATGCCTGTAGTCCCAGCTACCCGGGAGGCTGAGGCAGAAGGATCTGAGCCCAGGAGTTTGAGGTTGCTGTGACTAGGCTGACGCCACGGCACTCACTCTAGCCTGGCAACAAAGCAGACTCTGTCTCAAAAAAAAAAAAAAAAAAAAAAAAAAAAAAAAAAAGAAAAGAAAAGAAAAGCTGCTTCAAACATTCAAGTACAAGTCTCTGTGTGGACATATGTTTTCATCTCTTTTGAGTAAATATCCAGATTACCAGATTTAAGGGGATGCATGTTTAACTTTACGAGAAGCCCCAGTCTGCTTTCGGAAGTGGCTGTGCCATCTCTCATTCCCGCGGGCAAAGCATGAGGGTTAAGCTGCTCCACCTCCGTGTCAGCACTGGGTGCTGTGGGACTTCAGTTGTGGCCATTTCGTGGCTGTGTAGACGTATCTCCCTGTCGATTTATTATGCATTTTCTTAATGGCTAATAACACTGGCATCGTTTTATGTGCTTATATATTTGTATATCTCCTTTTGGTGACATATCTGATCAAATATTTTGCTAATTTTTTTAAAAAACAAGGCGATTACTCTTTCTATTATTAAGAGGTTTTACATATTTTAGATACAAGTCTTTAGTTAGACATACATTTTGTAAATATTTTTCCCCAATCTGGGGCCTGCCTGTTCATTTGTGGGGTTTTTTTGTTTTTTGTTTTTTTTTTGAGACAGAATCTCACTCTGGTGCCTGGGCTAGAGTTCCGTGGCGTCAGCCTAGCTCACAGCAACCTCAAACTCCTGGGCACAAGCAATCCTTCTGCCTCAGCCTCCCAGGTAGCTGGACTACAGGCATGCGCCACCATGCCCGGCTAATTTTTTCTCTATATATATTATTTGGCCAATTAATTTCTTTCTATTTATAGTAGAGACGGGGGTCTCGCTCTTGCTCAGGCTGGTTTTGAACTCCTGACCTCGAGCAATCCTCTCACCTCGGCCTCCCAGAGAGCTAGGATGACAGGCGTGAGCCACCGCGCCCGGCCTGAAGCAGCTTTTCTGATAACAGCCCCAAACTGGATAGAACCCAAATGCCCACCAGCAGATGGGTAGCTAAACAGACCGAGGTACATCCACACGATGGAATACTACTTGGCAACACAAAATGAACTGCTGATCCACACAACAGTGAAGACAAGCGTCAAAAGCACACGGAATGAAAGAAGCCAGACACAGAGGGCTGCGTTAGCATCCCTGCCGCACAGCGGGTTTCCCCAGACGTTGTGGCCATGTATCTGTTGCCATTAATTTCGCCTCACAAGAGCACATATCCTACTGAAAGTTCTCTTCCTCTCTCTCTCCTCTTCCAGTCCACTCCATTGTCCCATCTTCCCCCTTCCAGAAGGTGAGCCCCATGGGGACAGGGACAGTCATTCACACCCCGAAGGTTCTCAGACGGGCTAACCTGGCAAAGGGTGGGACCAATGCTTCCCTAAAACCTGTGGCATGAGAACCGATCGCGTCTGGGCCGTTCTCGAGGACGCTTGATGAATGTGTTCCAGTGTCGAGCATGAGAACCACTGCAGCAAATCTGTCTTTATGCTCTGTCCTCCTTGGCGCCCGAGGGAAGGGTGAGGGAGCGTGGCTGGTTCCCCGGGCCGTCGGTCGCAGGATCCCGTCCTCCCGGCAGCCCGTTTTTGAGTTTTCATGTTGTCAACTCAGTCGTGTGCTTGTATCGAAGAG